AATGTGATGTAGTACAACAATATGTTTTATCTCTTTTGAATTTTATTTTCTATTTAGTTCTCTTGTAATAGGTCTTTATATTTTAATAGAATTATAGTTTCTTTATTGAGTTTTAATTAGATTAGACTTTGATTAGTTTTCTAGTTTCCTTATTTCAATCTCCTAGTACTATTAGAAATAAGAATAATTTACCTATAAATATAGGACCATTTTACAATTTTCATTCATTCATTCATTCATTATCAAATCAATCAAAGCAAGTTATCCTATATAGCTCTTTCATATTTCTTTCATTACAATTCTTATTACAAGAATTTTATTATCACTTCCGTACCAAAATTGGTATCAGAGCAAGGAATTCACCTTAATTTGATGGGCAACGAAGGTACTGGTGGCAGTTGGATAGCCGATGACGAGCGGAGGCTTGACAAACTCGAACAATGAATCGAGGGGATCGACGAAGCTCTTCGCAATCTCACGCAAATGGTAACTGTGAAGAACAAACTCGTTCCAGACACACGACAAAAGGGAGAAGAATTAGATTATAGTGAATACAACCAATCCAACAGAAAGTGATTCAGATTCTGGCGAAGACACTCACCTGGAAGTAAGGTGTCCAAGGGTTGCAGCCGGTATGGGAATGCAGCCTATACCCTAACCCCACTTCAACCCGAGCCGGGAGAGACGATATTGACCCTTTGCAAATGACCAGTTTTGGCAGTAGGACCCAGGGCGGCGCGCGAACCCAATTGCAAATTGTGATTTTTGCGAGGCCGTTGCTCCTATGTAGTTGTGTGAGCGGCGGAATAGAAGACCTCCTGGATGGCGCTGTGACGGTGGCTTCTGACCAAAATCACTCCCATTTGTTTCGCAAGAGACAGAGATGGGCGGCGAACAAATGGGAGTGATTTTGGTCGGGTGGCAGAGACACGATTTGATTTTGGGACGGAATTCAATTTTGACCAAGGTGAATTTGACCGAAGTAATAATGTTGGAATGTTGACCAAGAGATTAATTTTGACCGTAGACTTAATTTTGATCGGCAACCAAGAGATAGGGGCTTTCAACAAAGATGGCCACGGGGGTTCGACTATTCATCCGAAGAAGAAATTATCCGTTGAAGGGCTAACAATTGAGGTCCGAATGTTCAAGAATTTAAGATGAAGATGGACTTGCCAAGTTTTGATGGTCAATTAAATATTGAAGATTTTTTGGATTGAATCCATACCGTTGAAATTTTTTTGACTATTTAAATATCTCGGAACAAAATCAAGTTAAACTTGTAGCTTACAAATTAAAGATGGAGCTTCCGCATGGTGGGAATAACTTCAATTTAATCATCAACGACAAGGAAAACGTGTACAAACTTGGCCCAAAATGAAATGGTTATTGCAAAGGTGATTCCTCCCTATAGATTATGATCAATTTTTGTACCAGCAGTTTCAGAATTGTCGACAAAATAACCGGACATTAAATGAATACATGGAGGAATTCTATTGATTAAACGCCCAAGTTAATTTGTCTGAAACTGAAGCTCAATTAATTGCTTGATTTATAGGAGGCTTGATATTAGTCATTCAAGATCGACTAGCTCTTTAGGAGATTTGGACCATGACAGATGCGGTCAATTTAGTAATGAAATTGGAAAATCATATGAACAGAACAGTCTGTACTCAAGGTAATTTTTGACGAACTAGTTCAAGAAGCTTATTCTAATTCAAAGGAGGCAACGAGGCAACAATAACAATAACCGTAAGGATACTACCCCAATTCGACATAGAATTAAGGTGGAACTTCAAATCCTGTTCGGTCTAACTAGCTGTCCAAACAGGCGATCCATTAACTTTATAGAAGGAGACAGTGGGGAAGAGCAAAATCTTGAAGACAATGATTATGAGGGTGATGATGTGGCAGATGCAGATACAGGTGAAGAATTGGCTTGCATTATCTAACGCCTTTTGCTTGCTTCGAAAAAGCCCGATACCTCTCAACGACATAGGATCTTCAGAACTCGATGCACAGCTTGTAACAAGGTATGGAATGTGATCATTGACAGCGGTAGTAGTGAGAACGTCATTTCTAAAGCAGTTGTAAATGCTTTAAATCTGAAGATCGAGAGACACCCTTTGCCATACAAGATTGCAGGGATTAAAAAGGGCCCTGAAGTTCAAGTTCTAGATATTTGTAAAGTTCCTTATCAATTGAAAAATATTACAAAGATGAAATCATATGCGACGTGGTGGATATGGATGCTTGTCACATTTTATTGGGTCGTCCATGGCACTATGACGTTGATGCCACTTATAAGGGACGGGATGATACTTTCATATTTTGGTGGTTAAATAGGAAGATCGTTTTAGTACCACAATCTCAACCTGTGGAGACCAACCCTGCTATCAAGGAAGAGAAACCACTTTTTACCAACATCTCAGACCCATAATTCTTTGAACAAGTAAAAGAGCCTCACACAGTATTGGCATTGGTTGTTAAAGGTCAATCAGAACTATATAGATTCCCACCAAAGTTTAGAAAGTACTTGCTGATTTTGCCGAGATAGCACCTGACAAGTTACCAAACGAGTTACCCCCTATGCGAAATATTCAACATCATATTGATTTGACGCCTAGAGCTAGTTTACCTGACTTGCCACATTATCGCATGAGCCCAGTTGAACATGAAGAGTTGCAGCGACAGGTTAATGAATTATTTGATAAAGGGTTGATCCACGAGAGTACGAGTCCTTCTGCAGTCTCCGCTTTACTCATTCCAAAGAAGGATGGCAGTTGGTGAATGTGTGTAAACAATCGTGCAATTAATAAAATAACAATCAAGTAATGCTTTTCCATCCCACATCTTAATGATATGCTCGACAGGTTAGAAGTTGCAATGATATTTACCAAACTTGATTTAAGGAGTGGCTATTATCAAATCCGTATTCGCCCTGACAATGAGTGGAAAACAGCTTTGAAAACGAAAGATGGTCTCTACGAGTGGTTAGCAATGCCATTTGGGCTATCGAACGCACCGAGCACATTCATGTGACTGATGAACCAAGTTCTTAGTCCATTTATGGGAAAATTTGTGGTGGTCTATTTTAGTGATATTCTTATTTATAGCAAAAATGAAGAGGAGCACTTGTCACATCTTACAGAGGTTTTATCAGTCCTGTGGGATAATAAATTGTATATCAATCTTAAAAAGTGCAGCTTTATGATCAACCAACTTCTATTTCTTGATTTTATGGTGGGTAAAGATGGTATTCAAGTTGATGAGCGAAGGTGAAAGCAATACGCGAGTGGCCAGCTCCTAAAACCGTGCGAGAAGTACAGAGCTTTCATGGATTAACAACTTTTTATAGGCGCTTCATTCGAGGGTTCAGTACAATCATGGCACCTTTCACCGATTGCCTGAAAAAGGGCCAATTCCATTGGGGCAAAGCAAATGAAGATAGTTTTGAGAATAAAAAACAAGTTATGCACTACACTAGTGTTGGCACTACCTAGCTTCGAGAAAATATTTGAAGTTGAGTGTGATACTTCAGTTATGGGAATTGGAGCAGTATTATTATCCTAAGAAGGCCGCCCAGTTGAATTTTTCAGTGAAGGTTAGTGAACCTCGACAAAAGTGGACTACTTACGAGTTGGAATTTTATGCCGTTATTTGAGCATTAAAGCATTGGGAACATTACTTGGTTCAACGAAAATTTGTGCTATTTACGGATCATCAAATTTTGAAGTTTATTAATTCTCAAAATACAATGAATCGAATGCAAGCTCGATGGATTACCTTTTTGCAGAAATTCACTTTTGTTATAAAACATAAAGGTGGCCAACAGAATAAAGTAGTAGGTGCATTAAGTTGACGTGCATCTCTTTTTGCTACAGTTAGCACTGAAGTCGTTGGGTTCGATTGTTTAAAGGAATTGTATGGAACCGATAAGGATTTTGGCGATATATGGGCTCATTGCAATAATAGGGAATTTATACCCGATTACCTTCTTCAAGAAGGATTCTTGTTTAAGGGAATGCAATTATGCATTCCTCGTTCTTCTTTGTGTGAGCACTTGATTCGAGAACTACATGCAGGCGATTTAAGCGGACATGTTGGTTGAGATAAGACAATTAGCTTGGTTGAGAGATTTTACTGGCCCCTAGCTCAAAAGAGATATTGGTCGTTTTGTTCAATGTTGCCCAATATGTCAGAAAGCTAAGGGACAAGCTCAAAATACTGGCCTTTATACCCCTTTGCCTGTTCCAGATACAATATGGCAAGATTTTACAATGGATTTTGTTCT